TCCCTCATGGGAAGCGCCCGTTCAGGCCGTCGGTTTTCTAAACGCTGCCACACATCTACAGTCACCAGAGGTGGCAGCAGTTTTTTCTTTAAAGCATTAGTGAAGAACTCAACAATAAGCGAAAACAACTGCTTGAGAACGTACCACCACACTATCTGACAGTACCTGCAACAGACAGCCCCAAAATACAATTTTAGGTGCTGGTTTTTATCACGCGCTGCCAAGCAGTGAACTAAGCGCTGGCTCAGGAGCAGCAGCCGTGCCAAGCAAAGGTGCAGGTACCCCCATTTATTAGCTTTTCTGCAACATGGAACAGTATAGTCAAATTCTGCTATTTAAACACTATCAATAGACTACACGTACAAAACTCAGCAATTTTGCCAAAATCCATCCCCAGCCCTACTTAGAGATGACATGGAGAATTTACTTTTGCACGTAGCGCTGAATCCCTCTTCTGCTAGAGTTGGTTGGCAGCTGTCTGATCTATCACAGATCACAGAATGGTCGGGGTTGGAGGGGACCTCTGTGGGTCATCTAGTCCAACCCTCCTTTTTTTTTCTACAGCAGGCTGCACAGGACCTTGTCCAGGCAGGTCTTGAATATCTCCAGAGAAGGAGAATCCGCAACCTCCCTGGGCACCTTGCTGACAAATTACGTACTCATCTTACATTGAGCCGAGAAACAGAAAAGGCCATGAAAACGTTCAACAAAAAACAAGCCTTTTTTTCTTTCTTTAAATCATGGTTGCTTTGCATTTAGTAGAAACCAGCAGTGAACCACCAAGTCTTGTTATCACTGTTCTTTCTGATCACTAAGAGGAAGGCCAGAAACGAAGTTAAACATCATGGTTCTGTGAAACTGATGGAAATTTCACCACCTCATTTCATCAGGACCAACATTTCATTCCCGAACTATCATCTCCCTTCACAGTTTCTTTACAGGCTTTGGTATATTGGCTGTTTCACAATGAAAGTCTTCTTCCTACATGCATGTCGCAAAGTTGATTTATGTTTGCCAGTTACAAACAACCATAGGTAGATTTATTTCCAGTATTACTTTTAGTGTCCTGTAATCCCTCTAGCCATCTGCTAAAGAAAGTTCAACTCTGATAGTCTTATAGTTAATCCACACTCCCAATGAAAAATGCAAGTATTATTTCAGAGACAGCTGAGAGCAGTCTCCCCGCCAGCAGCAGCCCGTGAAGAGTCCTGTGCTGTAAGCCATAAAAAGCAGGCTTTTCTGCCATGACCTCCAGGTGACACCCATCGCAGTAATGATGCACAAAATTTTGTGCCAGCATGCTCATCGTTTGAATGTCTCCCCTCCAGCAAACCCAAGGCACACACTCTAAAAGGAAAAGATCCTTTTAAGCCATTCAGCCTGGTTCCCCCCATGACCATACACCAAGCAAAGAGTCAGCGGTATGCGCTGACCTAAAAGTGAATACAGAGACTTCCTCTGCGAGGTGCTGCTTCTTCCACCCTCTCACCGGGGCGAGTTCTCTGGCTGACGCTGATACGAAGCAGACCAAGAACAGGAGTAGGGGGGGGGGGGAAAAAAAGCACAGCAACAGAGGATATCCAGATACCCTGCTGAGATATCCAAAGGATGCTGAGAGGCACTGGGGAACAGCCCAAGGAAAATCCTCAGCCGGCCCCCCGGCGAATCTTCCAGGAGAGGCAGAGGATCACGGGTTTGCCTTTGTACTTCCAAGGTTACCTCTCTGTCCGGCGCTCAAGATGCCAGGTAAGGTGCACAGTTCCAGGAAGTGGATGCGTCAAAATATTTCTTCAAAAATGTGTTGCCAGGAGCTACAGGTCGGGGGGGAATGTTTCTCAGCACTGGCTGACACAAATGGTTGCACTGAAATAATGGTATTTAGTTATTATAGTAAAATACATTATCTAAGGTAACCATCAGTATCTCCAGGATCCCATTATAATTTAGTATTACCTACTGAAATTTGGATTGAGTTTGGCTGATTTCATAGCTACCACCACGGTGAACAGCTAATGCAGTATTTTTAATACCAAGAGCACAGTTTGACATGTTTATATTGCTCTGACACATCCTCTATTTACTGGAGAAGCCATCCTGAAGTCTTCAGTGACACACCACCTGAAGTATATGTGAGATGCTTTACTTTTTTTTTTCTCCTGTTAGTAAGGGCTGATGATTTAACATACGTGGACTAACTGTGAAAATAAGAGTGCTTTTTTTGACCCAGGGTAACTATTTAAGATGTAAATCTGTAAATGCCTACATGCTTGTGTATGTTACAATAGCATGTATGGTCAGAGCATGTCCCTCATCGAGCCGATTGCCTTTTTTTCGTGCTTGATAATGACAATCCCTGTACTTAGGGTTACAAAGTCATCTTTACCCTACCTACGCTCACATCTGTGTAGATGCAGAAGCACAGACACAGCAGAGAAAATGAGACTCACACAGTGCTAAAGGTAGCTATAATGAAAAGACCAAAATAGCATCATGATTCACAAACACAGAACAACCAGGTACCACAGAAACCAGGAGCTCCAAGAAATGAAAAGTAGACTAATAATCTTACTATTAATTCTTCTGTAGTACTGGAAATTATTCAACGCATTGCTCTGTTGAATCTAGCAGGAGAACACCTGCAGGTTTAATAAAGCTCCCTGTTTCATTCCTTGATTTATAACCTTTTATGTAAAACCTTTTTTTCCCCTCTGAACAATCCCTCTTTCTGAAATTCAGTAACTACCATACTGGAATAACAAAAACTAACAGGGCAGAGCAATAATATGCAGCCAATCTGAAGAGACTTATGTGGGACTGATGAGATGTATTATTACTTTTGAGAGACCAGATGCTGAGAGAAAAACATACTCATGGCTGTGAAACAGTATGTGCTCCTGGGCACCTACTAATACTGCATTTCCATAGAGCAGAAAACCCAGTTCAGAAGATGCAGTTCAAAAATTTCCCATGACATCCAGACCCAGACCACAGCAAGCATTGCCAGCCTTCATTAACTTGCAGGGACAGATGGTTTAATGAGGACACTTACCTTAACACAACACTTCAGTGCTCAGAGGTTGGGGTCCAGAGGCTGAATGCTATAGAAATTTTACACTAGTAATTTGACAGAAACCACCAGAAAGACTAGTTAGGAGCTAGCAGGATAAAGAGCAAGGATCACTGGCAGGATACTGTAGGGAATGTTGCTCACCCTAATTTGTATGACCTATCAGACTTCACAAGTTATTTCTTTTCTCAATTTTTGTGACTCTGTTTTAAACCCTTGCCTCAAAAAAACCAACCCAACAAAAAACCCACCCAAACACCAAACAATAAACACAAATAAGTAAATAAACTGAAAACTAGAATAGAGTTTCCATTTTAAAGAAGTTGCCTTCCCAATTCAGTCTCCCCTAACAGCAATAGTTCTCAGGGTATCAGGGGCACATGAAAACAGAAGAACCGTTCCCATCGCTCTGGCATGACTGCATTAGGGAACGAAGAGTCTGCCAGTTGTATTTACCTTGGCATGTGTTGATTTACGAATACTACTACACGTAATTTAAAGACAAAGCATGTAAAATACCATTTCAAATGGAAGAAGTCCAGTTAATAGGTCACGCTACCGTCAAGCTCCATGATCTTCTCCCTACAGCAAGTAAACTAGCAGGGTCAAAATTCAATGCAAATAGGCACTGCAAGACAATGATGTTCAGAAGACTGGAGTCTTTACACATGTTCATCTCACACTATTTTCCACTTCAATACCTTTTAGGGAGAGCAGGATTTTAAAGTGGCATTTAAAATGTATTTTCCTTCCATTACATAACCCCCTTTAAATTGTTTTTATTTTCTTTCCATTACGTACCCCCTTTAAATTGTTTGACAAATTCTTGACAAATGTTTAAAACATTTAAATTAGTTAAAAGTAGTTTTCTAGTTCCATGCTAGATTAGGACACTAGCAAACAAAGCCTAGAGCCTATATATCTATTTGCCTATAAAAAATTATTTACTGAACATTTTTTGCATAAACTGCCTGCAAAATACATACTTGCTCTTTAATGATCTTTAAAACACTGAAAACTAACGTGCGACGACACAGTTTTTTCTTAGCAGTTCTTTCACTTTCAGCATTTTGGAGGAATTTTGCTCTTCTTTTATGATGATAAGAAAGCTCCAACAGTGAGTAATGTGCTATCTTTGTAACTACCCATCTGATTGAGTGCATCAGTTATTTTCATCGTCATCCATATGTGCTCCAGACACCTCTCAGCACCCTTTCCTCTCTTATCTGCATAGTCCAAAAAAATAGTACTGTACATTGTAACAGAAAGGCAGAGATCAGAAAAGCCAGACTGAAACAAACTGTAGCATATTAATTTGCCTCACCAAAACAAAAAAGGAGTACTTTTTTGGCACCTGAGCTACAAATGTATCCACATTGCTCCATAATTTTACCAAGTGATTTTTCCTCAGCTGTGCACAAGGGTAAAATTATCATGGTGTGTAACATGACTTTCCTTTATGCAGCTGAGGAAAAAGCGCTTCGTATCATTATGGTGTACTCTGGCTGAGGGTTTAGTTGGAGTCACAAAGCAAATACTCAGGGAGGTCTCGTTGATTTAATCTGTTTGTGATTATGAAGATTAGGATGGGAAAAATCCAGAAGGTATGTTGTTGGTGAGAAGAGCTTCTGTAAGCAGAAGCAAAGGACTGAGCTTTGGCACGTCTGTCAGTTAAACTTAACCCACGTTCTAGAAAAAAAAAGTTTCTATCTGTTTTCTTCTAAGTGAATTCCTTCAGCCATCAGCTAGATTTTTGGTGAAAATTACAACTTGTGGTATTTCTCTTTTCCCTCCTGCTTAGTACTCACAGAAATTAGATATATCAACTTTGACCTCAGCAACCAATGTTTATCCAGATGAAAATGGCTCCGCACAGTTCATCCTGATGCTGTCAAACGGGGAACTAGAACTGAAGGTAAAAAGAGAAAAGCTGTGATTTGTAAGCCACTCTGTACTTGACTCCATCTCCCACAGATATTCAGAGCTCCATTTTGGTGCAGGAGTAGAGCTGCCTTCTGACATCCAGGTGTACAGCCTGCAGCCAGGCAGCACCAAAAGGCTGTCAGAGAGGGAGGCAGGGAAAGGAAACTAACACCAGGGAAACTCCCCATCAAGGCATTCGAAGTTTTTCTCAGGAGTATCTGGGAATACGAAATGAGCAAAGAATTGAACAAGAAAATACGCAAGAGAAACCAGGAAGTCCCACACCGGCAGGCCCACATCACCTGTAAAACCAGGAAGGGGACCAAATATCTGACCACCCCACCAGTCGGAAGCCACACAGACTGGAGTGCTCAAGGACTAGGTTTTATACTTGAGACTCACCTGTCTCCTTAGCACAGTGTCTTCTTGGATCCACATAACCTCCTTTTACTCCAATATAGCATACGATTTTTTTACGTTCCCACCTCTGTCCTCTCCCTCTATTTGAACATGGAGTACTGGGAAGGTGCAGGGTTTCGAGGTGTGATGCAGCTTGGCAGGGAGCTCATTTCCAGGCATGGTACTTCTAAAAGGGTGAGAGTTATTTGAGGCTTCCACATGAAAAACCATACTTTTTGTTGTTGTTGCTGTAGTTGTTCTTACACCATGATTTTCTGTTCCCTCAGGCTAATGACTGTGAATGTGGGAAAGAATGGAAGGGTTTTATTCTCACCGTAACAAAGGTATGGAAGAGTTTTGTATCTCACTTCATGTCGATGTCAGTATGGGGGTTTTGTCTTGACACATGCCAGAAGCTGTCTTCCACAGGCACAAAGCCTCGCTTCTAAAGTGTTTGCACATACTGAACTGTTGAGGGGTTTTGTTGTTTTCTTTTTTTTCCCGAGGAGAGCAAAATTGAGGCTGATTTAACCCCAGCTCATCTGCAGTGCACACTCTGCCGTAGCATCCAGTCAGACATAGTTCCCAATCCACTCTCTGCACTTCTAGCACAAGTCCATCCCTTGCAGCTGTGAAAAAGGGAGCCTGCTCTGAGAGAGACAACTGTCTAGGTCTTTATCATGGGATAAAGACATAAGCACAGAAGTGGCCAAAATGCACACCTGAGAGACCACCTCAGCCCTGTGTTTTATTCTACTATTCTTGGCTAAATGCACTTTGAAAATAGCAAGACCCTCTTTGAAAGACCAGTGGAAAAATAAATGTTTGCTCACAAATGACTGCCTAGCTGAATCATTTAAAAAGCTGAGGATGGCTGAAATAGGTTAAATTACATTTACACAGCCTTTTGCAGTATAGAAACTGCAAAATATCTTCGTGGATTCTTACAACATTCCCACTTCTGCCAATGCACATTTCTTCTAAATCAGGACAGAGATATCCTTCTTTCACTATTCTAACAAAAACATGTGCAGCATTTTAGTTAAAGCAGAGGCATATCCAAACCTTCCAGATTATTACAGCTGCTTAAAGCAAGCAGGTAAGAAAGATTTCTGCACAGCAGCTGTGCTCAGAGATGAGCTGATGCGCACACAGAAATGACTGCTCACAATGTTTGTCCACTATTTCATTTTATTTTCAATTTCACTGTTCATTTTCAGCTGTCACTTCCACCAGCTGAGTCATTACTACCTGGGCAACTTACAAGAATGCATGAAGTGCTAGAGAAGGAAAAGAAAAGAAGGATTACACTTAACAACTGTTGCAGCACATCCCCAAACAGAAAAAACCCTCCCAGCACTGCACTGACCACCATGCCAGTGTAAGCTCTGACTGGACTGTGTGAACCCCAACCTGACTAAAGAGCCTTCCCTTCTTCTTTCAAAGTATTATTTCCATACAGACGTTCACAATTCAGCTGTTGTACTAGGGTTGTATAATACTCAGTGAAAAAAACCTACCTGAAGGCCTTTATAGAGATTTCCTAAGGGAAAGATTACTCCTGCAGCTTTCCTACAATGCCTTTTGTTTTGAAAAGGCTGACTGCAGCATATTGCTATGCTCAAAAAACTTCAGAAAGGCACACATTGGGCTGTTGTATCAGCCCTTCTGAAAAAATGCTGATTACCATTGAGAAATTCAAGCTAAGTCCAGGTTACTCTTCTCACATCTTACCAGGGGTCCAGACAGTGTCATACCTGTATGAAAGCTTCACTTTCTCTTAAGAACACCGAAGCACTGCTGTCCTGAATTATGCTCCTATAGTAGCATTAATCAGCAGAAGTCCTTCAAATGTCATGCCTCTTGGCAGCCATGGCTAGTTACCGTGGATAAGCCTAGCATTGTGAAGAGGTGTTAGCCCGGTAGACTGCGTCTCTTCACGCAGCTCAGAGTGAGCTTTGCCAGCGTAACTCGCATTCATGCCGTTCCTCTCCTCCCTTCTATGCAGGTGCTTCTATGCAGTATCTCGGCAAGAAGCGACAGAGATGTTACAAAAGAACCCTTCATGTGGGAATTTGATCCTGCGTCCCGGAAGCGACAGCAAGAACTACGCAATCACTGTCCGACACGAGCTGGAGTAGGTTGATTCCACAATACATTATCCCATTCTTAACTAGTTTGCACTGTATTCAAAGCTGAATTCTTAATACCCGGAGTTGACATGTGAAACATATGCCTTGCCTTGAGGCTATTCTGTGAAAAGCAAATGAGGCAGCAGGGGCAGGCCTGGGATCAGTTTCTTGGTTCTCTCCTCCTCCAAAGCCAGGCAGATTAAACAAGCAATAAAGGTCAGACAGCAGTAGCCTATTTCCTTGGGTAAATGGGCGTCCCTTGTTTGCCATGAAACCGTACTCAGTTTAAGAAATCTTCATGCAGAATGAAAATGGAACAAGCTGTACCCCTTTGTAAAATAAACAACAAAAAAATGAGAGACTTAGTCTAAAAAACACACCACATTTCAGCTGAATTGCCATGTTTTAGCTTTTGTAGAGCTTCAGAACAAGAGGCATCTGAGACACCAGGAATGACATTTGCAATTCTCAGTGTTTCTGAACTAAAATGGGGAAAAAGCAAACTCTGCCACACACCTTCAGTAAGCTCTGGGGAGCACACCCATTGCTCCTGCAAAGGTGTTCATAATGACAACGATACATCAAAAAGTATTTCATTTCCGGCAGTGTATCAACTTTCATTTTCTTTCAGTGCCCCACGCTTAAAGCACTACAAAGTGATGTCCAAAGGAACAAGTTATGTTATTGAATTGGAAAGACAGGTAAGTGAGCAATTCCCTTGCTGAAGATTCTTAAGCAGGTGTAAGAACTTGAACCTTGCAAAAAAATTAGAAAAGCTCTAGTAAATTCCTAACTGTAATTTGTGAGTCAAAGTAAAGTAGGCAGAAAGTTCACCTCTCTTGTTAGTCCAACTAACCTAATCTCAAAGAACAAGTTATCTTTTAAAAACTAGGAAAGTAAGGAAAACCACCCAACATGAGCATGAAACCACTCACAAAACACCCATGATTGCCCAATTTTTTTTTTCCAACTCAGGCTTCAGTATTAATTCTGAAAACTGAGCTCTCATTGCAGCTACAGGAAGTTCAAAATGCACTCCAAGTAACTCTGAGAAATAAAATTAACTTAGTTGAAGCGTGAGTAAGGCTGTATGAACCCTGTTATTTGGTTAAAAAATTTTCTTCCACTTAAGACATGTTTAATTCATAGCCCTAGAAACATCTTATTGGTTTGAAAAAAGCATCTGGTGTTATACCATCTCCTGAAAAACCATCAGCAGTCTTTGAAGAGCACAGCAGTACGGAGAGCGCTCTCTTTTTTGGTCTGTTTACTCATTTGATGGAAGGGAAGGAGTTACATGTTAAAGGGTCAAAACATTATCATAGGTTGCAGAGGGCTGTCCTAGACCTCACTGCATCCAAATGCTGGATGTAAATCCAGTATCAGTTGTTTGAGAAGCATTGCTAGGGATCCCAGCCTGCCGGCATGTTTTTGAAAACATTGTGTTCTCAACACAGGTAGCATGTTGTATCTGATGGCGGGGTTTTTTTGTTGGTTTGGTGTTTTGTTTGTTTTGGTGAAACAGGTGACGCTCCCAAGCCTTCAGGATGTTGTCAGTTACTTTGTGACTCAAACCCGAGGGAACCTGAAGCCCTTTGTCATACAGACGCACACTGCAGAGGACCCAGTGTGCTGAAAACAAGCTGGTTGCTGAAGGCACACACAGGAATGGTGCTGCTAAAAAAAACAGGCATGAGAAGCAGCGCAGGAACTCCATGCTATTGAAGATAAACAGAAGGCATTCCCCAGGCTACTCAATTTCTAGAGCAACTCTGTTGGCCCTAAACCAAGAATGTGACACAGCTTCTCCCAGAGAAACTTCTGAGATTTGGGGAGGGCTAATAACCCCAATTCCTGTAGAAGATTAAATGTGGAAAAAGAAAAGAGTGGGAAAGAGAGGACACATCACCCCTGCAAATTGCAATGGAAAAACATGGTATTGAAATGAGACAGACAGTGTTTGTGGGATCAGTTCTGTCACCAGCTCACAGTGCAATAAACTCCTCGTGTTACAGAGCCCGCTTCTTGTCTACTCACTTGTGACAGTATCAGTGCCATTTATGACATCCCACAGAGACAGCCGGAATGCCTCATCTCTGCTGGGCCTTTGACCCCTGCCAGAGAGGTGCAATACAGAGAAAAAAAGCAGAAAATACAAGTCTGGGTAGCTTAAACTGGGGCTTCCTGGTTCTCTGTAAAGTCATGCAACCCTTACAGGACCTGGAACACCCAAAGTAAGGTGGCTGGGGCGTTGCCCATGTTGTGCAACTGAAGGAGCTCATAAATTCAAGAAAACCGAGACATCTCCTGCCCAACTGAACATTCCCACCCCTTCTACATGCCAGCGGTAGTGTTCATCAGACTGTGCCATGAGCTACTTCAGGAAACTAAATAAGTCAGCATCCCTGTTGGTTAGGCTCTCTGAACTACCGTCTCCATGGGCTGAGACAAGCCCCAGCAAGCCCACAAGGAGGACAAAACTGCACAGCTGGTAATGAGGGAAGGCAGCAGGGCATGCGAGAGCCCTGTTGATCATACTCCACAGCTGTGGAACCCCACTGAGCCTTAGGCACAGCATCCATCTTCTGGGAAAGTGGGGATCCAGCCTTCCAAAGAAGCAACTTAGGTGATCAGCAGTAAGACGCAAGTTTAGTATTTTTAGCCTCTAATTTCTGCCAGGCAGCTGGACTGAACAAAGTGCTTACGGGATGGGTACCCACTGCTGAGCTACACTCCTTCATAGTGAGTGGAGATAACTAGCTCCAGAGCCTGGCTTTCTTCTTTAAAGGAGCCCCAGCCAAATGAACTGCACCTCTTCTCTGACAGTGGTGGGGGAGCATTCACACAGCTCAGCTGAAGACAGCTATGATCGAGATACCAAAGCAGCTAGTGCCTTCACTACACGCACAGGGAGTGCTCTAGGTAGAGTTGCTCTTATTTCCAGACAAAGACTGATCATAATATCCTTTGATATGAGCAAGGAATTACAAATTAATGATTACTTGTTTCAAGGATTATAGAAGTCAAGGCTTGTTTTAAAAGAGTGCCCATGAGTTTCTAAATAATAGGTTATGTGTGACTGTATGAAGGCACAATCACTGTATTTATAAAAGTACAACATAACATGAGACATTAGCGCTTTCTTTTCATGAATATACTTAAGATCACTTTGTGAAGATGGTGCTGCTCAGTATCCATGAGGTTAGAGTTGCAGCTTTTCCTCAGTATGAAACTGAAACTTGGGTGTTGCTGTGAGAAATAGGAACTTAATACTTCTTCACTGTATCTCATTTTGCCATGCAAAATGATTCACGTACTAGAAAGACAGCTCTGCTGGTGTTATCAATGCTGCAACCGATGACACCTTTAAGCTTGAGCCTCAATAAGCTTTCTGCAGCATGGATAAACACCCACGCTAGTTACTTCATCGACCACACAAAAGACACCAGAAGACATTTACTAAAATAAACTCTCAAAGCTATCTGGTCAAAACTTACCCAGCTTTGGACAAAGGTTTAGGCTGCTGCACTGTGCTGCAGCAGGGTATGCTTTATATAATTGCAGACCCAAGATAATTAACAGGGATGGATAAACCTTTCAAGCTAATAAGCCAGTTGCATTTGGCTGATATTAAGTTCCTTTCTTCAAAGAACTGGCCCACAGCCACATTGTTGCAAAGACAGAAGGAAAAATTAAGAACATGAACTTATCTAAAGCCTTTACTTAAGTTTGATATGAGTCAGACAGATATACAAACTCTCTGCCTAGCTCAAACGCACGATTTCATCAGGCTGTGATGAGGTGATGGGGTTTCTGCATTCACAGAGGCCCAGCTGGTGCCAGAGTTGTTCTTTATATGCATTCATTATTCTTGAATAGCACCTTTTTTTTTTAAATAGGCATTCACATTTTCACCATACATAAGGGTGGGAAAAAAGCTGAAAATGTGTGCTTTTTACTCCTTGTATAGGTAAATACAGTCCTAAATTCATCAGATCCACCAAAACAGTCTTGTTAACAGCAGCATGATCTTCATGGAATCCTCACCACTCCTAGCATTAAAGAAACACTGGAGATTAACTACAGAGAACAGTTGAGCTGGGTGCTAAATGCCTCATGTTTTTGTTGCACAAATATTCCTGCAACTATTCAGAATGTGAGAAATTAAGGGAAAGCTAGTGTAAATATGAGCAAACTCTGTAAAAAAGCATTTGAGAGAGAGATCTTCAATACTTATTTAAAACTCCATCTCTGCAAGTCAACTGCTTTTTCAAGGAATAACACTTTGAAGCAAAGCTATTCGAAGTGTTCTAGTGGAATGACAGTTCTTCACTGCTGCAGGGAGACGGCTAGCTGTAGCTGCTCCATAGGAATAGAGCAGCAAACAGCCCTAGACACACACAAGCTTTCATTACAGTGAAAAAAACCTAAAAAACACCAAACAAAAGCAGTTCTCAGATTCCAGGTAGTGCTACAAGCCTCTGCGCACTTAGCACTGGTAGTGACAACGCTGGAGATCTGGAAGACCAGCTCCCCGAAATTCACTTACCCAGTTTGACTGAGCCCTGTTAATGTGATCGTGCTGAACACTTGTCAAGACTTTTGGTAAAAAACAGCAGCAGATTGAGAAATGGGCTGTATCAAACACAAATTCACACTGAATCAGCTCACTCCACTCTGCACAACTGTCAGTGTAAATACATTCACTCTCGATATCAGCAATTCAGAAAGTTTTAAAACATGAAAAACAATTTTAATGAGCCAATTCACATGCACAGTTCTTTCATATAAAGTCCTCTTTAGGTTATTACTTGTACCTAGATTAACTTATATCCAAAAAATTTTAAAGGTCTGCTAAGAAATATCTAGAGCCATTGCATATTTTCAGTTTTCCCACCAGCAACTGTTTAACTGAGCAGAACCCATCCCACAGATACATACAGTAAAAGCAGTATAGAGACACAGCCATGTCTGCAAATGATGTCCCCAGTCCCTGCCAACCTCGACCTTTTGGGAAAGGGTCTTACAAAGCTGTATGCATTGTCATTAATAAAAGCCATTCCATTAGGTGTATTTGAAAATTTACTTGAAACCTGTCCCTGAGGACCGTCAGATGGCATTCTAGCACAGTACTGAGACTTCACTAGTTTTATATGCTGCTTACTTCGAAAGCATAAGCATGATGTTAACACTACACTAAGGTGCCAGAGTGTACTTACTCAATTTCATTTGTTTCCCAGTCTTCAACTGAGAGATGACAGTGCTTTCGACTTGACCTAAACCTTTAAGTGATCCTTAGCACTAATTAGTCATTTCAGTTAAGAGTTCAGATTCTAATACTGCTACAGTGAAATACATTTTAGCTGTTACTTAGAAGTGGAAACTTACTCTCTGCTTGTGCCCTCTCTGCATTGTAAATGTAGTCATCTTTGCTCCTGCTTCAAAAAGTTTCTCCAAAAGAAGTTCTTAAAAAGAAGTGAAATAAGTTCTTAAAAAAAATGAAATAAATTAGGTAGTTTAAAAAGTATTATTAATCTAGAAAATTATATCTATAAACTGGACTGACTGTAAAACTATATACACCTTCCAGAAGATACCCCGCACGTAAGACTAAATCCTAAATATTGGAATAATTGCGTTGATTCCAGCTATTCAGTTTCATGTAGCTTGGTGCTGAAGTTCCCAGCCAAATAGCTGTTATTCCTGACTACAACTAAGAATGGAAAAAATGAGAAGTAAAATTCCTGACCAATAATGTCCATTAAATGTGAAGATTTCCCTAAAGCTTAATAAATTGTAATCAAGGATAAATGGCTAAGTAGTCAATAGCTTTTGCAACAGCTGCAGGAGATCATGTGCAATCACAATCTCTAAAGCTTAAACACATTAAAAGGTTTTCCAGTTCATAGGCTTTTATTTTAACCTCACTTCACTCTATCATCATTGGGAGAAAAAAAGAACTACCAGCTCAACTATCCAATGTTTAAATGATAGAGAAAATAAGGTGGTGTCACAGATGTTTCTGTAACGCACCTCTGCCTCACCACAGCAGAAAAGCTAGTCCCTAATTATTTCCGATTAAGCAGATTTATATGAAGATATCCTAGTAACTGACTGATTATGATAAGAACCTCAGCATTCAGTGCAACTCAGACTCATGGTGTGCACAGGTGTACAGCATAACTAGTCGAGCCATTTGCCTTCTCCTCCTTTCAAAGTCATCATTTGCTACAGTGTTTTTAATTTGGTGAGGGCAGAAAGGCTCAACCACACCAAATGTTTTCTCTTTCTTGAAGACGAAGTTTTATTGTTGAAAGTATTAACTCAGCTCTTCAACAGCTTTCCACTTTCCCCATACTGAAGTATTCCCCAAAGAACAGTCCTAGTGCAGCTAATCAGCAACTCCAGCTCTCTTGACTTCAGGGGAACTGTGACAATTTACACCTATTCAAGAGCTGCCTCCCTATGTTTCCATGTTGAGACTGACGTAAGATAGCTGCTCTGACAGACAGCATCGCTAACTGTTTGGAAGAGAGCACCAACAACACAATAAAGCAGTTCACCTGCTTTTAAGTGGGAGTTGAAACCTTTTGGATGGATTAAATCTCATGTGCAGATGGCAAGAATGAAATTCTTGTTTGAGAATTAATTAATATATGCAATGGATTTCAGATGTTCTTAGAACACCTGGAGTTCTAAAATGGCAGTTTCCCCATTTGTTGCACTCTTCTCTAAGCAGCACCTAATTTGCACATGGGGACCATTTGTTAGGTTCAGCATTCTTCTTCCTTTCTTCAGCTCCCCACAAATTAATACAAATCTTGTCCTTAAGGTAAGGACTGTACTGGACATTCCACCTCATGCAGTGACCAATCCTGCTTTGAGCAAACAGGTTTGAAGAAAACAGAAGCAGATGAAACACAAATCCAGTACGTCTTCAGTGCAAAGCCACTGATTTTCACCATTTGTTTTAATTAAGGCTTCACCAAAAAAAAAATATCTAGTACCATCTTTAATAGCTGAAAATTAGCACAATCCTTTCAGAACAAATGGTCCAGGAGTGACTTTTGTGTCTCTACCATCAATTGTCTTCCTGAACAAAGTAGTATCTCACTGGTGGCCCTGGCAAGTCTTCCTCCCCATCAGTCTCTGGAGCAAACGATACTGTCAAATCCACATACTTCTTATCAGCTGATGGTTTCACAAGCTTTTGCATCCTAGAAGGAAACGAAGAACAGCTTGTTAACACAGGAGGAGGAGGACTGGCAGTTGGAATTCAGGGCCAGACTAGGATGAATTTCACTGCCAACAATGAAGCCCAACATACTAGAAACCAGATTAAAATGGAGAATAAGCTGCCTTTTAATTCTGATACACAAGCTGTTCCTCCACCTGAGGTATAGCGAAAGGTATTCCATTTTCTTCATAGACTTAGCCCATTAGTGAGCTATTACATTGTTCACTAACGAGTTCTTGCTACAAAACAGAAGTGAAAATGGCCAGTTTCATATCGGATTCCTTACCCACATGATTTCTCTTTTGCGTTCTACTGAGGCACAAGGGAAATTTAGCTTTCTGTGCAAGATTTTGGTCAATGAGGAGGAGCAAGTTCTCGGTCCACCAATAATGGCTGATTGTAATACATTATTAGGGAGAACCACTCCAGTGCAGACACTAGATACACAGTTCTGATGGAAAGTAATTCCACTGGAGTGAAGACTTGCTAAGTCCTTGAATTTCAAAGGCGAATAGCAATGAGGGGGGAAAACCACCCAAGATCTGAGACTTCTTCCTTCATGACCACAATGTGAGTTTTAAACTAGGTAAGGATGTTATGTCTCAGTGCAACTTCCTCCCTTTGCTCTCCGCATTCTCAAAAGCTACAGCTATCGCTTGGGAGTTGCACAATAAAACACTGAAGTAGCAGGTCAATCAACCTCACTTTCATTACATTTTTGGACGTCTCAAAATTATTTCCTTGCCAACTCGGAGCACTTGTTCATGAGGCCAGCTCGAATGCTAGGAGGCTGGGGGAATACAGTCACTCATTTCTATTCCTTACAGGTCACTTGAAGGATTTGCCTTCTGGCTATGCTTTAGCACGCAGGTCAGAAAACTGCTTTCCCCAAAGTATTTGTTCTCTTGCAAGAACACAAAGCATTAGCCTCTTCTCAGCAGAGACGTTGAGGTCATATCCATTTGCATGAGGAAGAAGCCCCAAGCTACAGAGCAAGGCAGACAACTGTGTCTCTAAAACTTGCTTTTAAGGAGTATGGTACCAGTCAATGCTGCAATTCTGAAATGAAGACAGTCTTGCAATGCTTGTCATATTACAGTGACAGAAAGATTTTAAACACCTTAAGAAAAACCAAACACACAAGCAAGATTATAGTTTGCTGTTGAAATCTCTTTCAAAGCTTTTTGGACTGTTTGTAACAGAACCCCAAGTTGCTGTAACTACATGGAAAGCTTGAACCAAGTCTCAGGGTAATAAGAAAGCCTGACATTCACAAGAACGCAGCACCACACCACGCCTTTGACTTCATTACACACCTCACTCATTCAAAATGATTTATACAGCTGTAGGAGAAGGAATACAAACAACTTACTTTGAGATAGGCTGTAAATTCACATCTTATTATGCCAGGCGCTCTAACGGCAGTACCAGCTTAGAGGCTCTTCTCTCCCTGGAAGTCTGAAGTAGCTTGCCCATAACACATACTACTTTGCCTGATGTTACCTACTGGCAAACCTTTGAAACAGTACTGATCCATGCATCTACTTCTCTAGCAAAGTCTGTGAGCACTGACCAGCACACACATCACAGGAGCTGAGAGGAACAGACTTTGAGCTAAAGAAGTTCAGCCAACATATAACATAGAACTAAACCTGGGTGAGATCTGGCTGTTACTTTGCAAAGGCCTATCAGTCAAAAACCAATGCCCTGCCCTCACACTCTCCCTTCCAGTTTGTTAAACCCCATTTTTCTGTCAGAACGGCACTACAAAGCCTTGTGAATGTCTTCGCTTTTCAAAGGGCTAGAATGAGCTAGAATCTCAAGGAATTACTATGAACTGAACAGACTTCCAGAAATCTCAATCTGCAACCAATACATTAACTCCTTCCTGAATAAGTGTTCGCATTCTTTCAGAGCTAAGTTGCTAAATATCACCACTAATTTTAAGCCAGTTTAAAAAGGTCTGATCAGTCATCTTCTGCTTGAAGCAACGTACATTCTTTCCCCAAAAAACTGTCAAACTTCTTTGGGTTTCTCATTCTGGCATTCATCAGTTAGAGTAGCATTTTGCAAGTCTCCTGCTCTCACCATAGAAGTTAATGCACTTTCCCTTTCTTCTTTTTTTTCCAAAAGGAAGAAATTATCTTTTTTCTTTCCCAAATATTAATGACTAGCAACCACTTTGAGAGAAAACATTGCTGTCAGACACACATCCTTATGATACAACCAATGAACAAGATTTGTATGTGCACTCACATCCTTTGATCCATTTTCTGGTTATACTTACGTCAGCTTTAATCTTTTAATATGACCTGGCATCACAGGAACATACAGCATTTTGACTCCCTGTACAACCATAGTTGGTTCAATTCCATATTTCTCCTGGAATTCAAAAATTAAAACTTATTAAAGGACTAGGACAGCTGCATAAGCCAGCAGATACTACTGCTGCTAATACTACAACTAATTATTGAAAACCATAGGATTCCAACCAGAACACTTACTAATGCATGGACGCTGACAGGAGTTTTATTAAAATACATTTGAGCCAATCGAATTAACAAAGAATTTGAAAATAGGCTTGGACGTGTTTACTAAGAGACATTCCCGTTGACATAAATTCTTTCTAGAATGACTCTGGTTTGAACAATAACTTGATAAAATAAAAAAACCCCCAACAAACCAAACAATAAAACCACCCAAATCAACAACCCAAAACAAGAAAACCCTTTCCTCTCATCTTGTATTAACTCAGTACAATAGATAACTTACTCTGACAGCATTTATGAAGTCCAAGAGAGTAAAATCCTCTTTCCCATAAATTGTCCACCTGTCCCAGATTGTAAATGATATCCCATTTCTGTTTTAAAAAGAGAAAGGCTGTTTGTTACTTTAGCAAGTGAACTCAGGCACTTCCTTTAAACATGTACTAAAGAACTGCTATCTCTCCTAGCGACTTGCTGGTTTATCTTGAGCAAAAATCTCTTCCCTCTCTGTTGTTATTTCTCCAGCCCTTTGACCTGGCTAAGCACAAGACACAGTAGGAACTCCCGAGTAAACACAGTACCTGGCAATGAACTTACAGAGTTTTCAGACCTACTGAAAAACAGCTCCTGTATTGACTAAGATGCAGAAACGTGTCCCGTCTGTGCAGACAGGATGTTTATTAATAACCATGACAGGCACCTAACTCATCTAGATTTTTAAAGCCCCACTAGCAACAGCTTCCACTGAAAATAAAACTAAGCCCTTAAAACCACTGTTTTTAAATTAGCACAGAAGAGTATGTGCTGCATTTTCCAAACAGGAAGTTCTTGAGCAATGCATTATGGGACACCCTTGGTGGTACTAAAAATATCACTTACACCTTTAGCAGTACATAGTAAATGCGTAATAGAGTTTGATAGCGTGCTCTGATTCATGATCTTCCAAGTTTAAATAACAAAAAAAAAAAGACCTTAAATATCTATTATGTTTAATGGGAGTAAGACCATGAACTGTGCTTCCATCATAGTCCTGCTATGCGAGTACATAAGGACTTAATCTGGTTATCTGGATTTAATAACTGTACAAACTTCGTACTTGTTGTAATGGGTCACCAAGTTCTAAGCATCAATTACCAGGTTTCTGCCATTGTCCTTCCTACCTGATTTCCGTTCTTCTTACTTCAGCAGTTTCTGTAAAGACCATTATAGGAATGGCTAGGTTCAGAAAACAGTTCTTGTATGCATCAGCTGGGTAGCCACCCACAACTTTGATGAGTTCCAGTGCAACCTGCAGTAAATGAGAATCCCATACTTCCGTGAGACCAAACGCAGGCTTTAGGTACTGTGTTATCAATACTGGTTTAGTTAAGAGGGCAGCAGCTACAGAGTAAGTGGTTAATGAGATCAGCTTTTGTCCAACCAGCAGAGTAAACCACATCTGGAGATACAACCAAGTATGCTACAGAAATCAATTCTGTTGCTTCTAATGGATATATTTAAAATGTTCAAAAGTGTTCCTAATGTAGGACTCTTCCACAACTATTTAATTCAAGACACCTCCACAAAGCATGCAGTTCTGTTGAGTTGCATGGATGTGAACTACTACAGAACAGATCCTTTCCACTCTTGGCAGTGGCACTCTGATGGAAGCTCATATTAATTGCAGAAAACAACAAAAATGCTGATCTCCAACTCCGCTTTCTGGTCAGCAAATCAGAAATAAAAGCACCAAAGGCTTACCACATCTAGAACCCAGAGAGTCCTTTTGTACTGGTACATAAGAAAAAAAGATTATTGGGCTTGAAATAAACATTTTCTTTAATGCGGTTCTGTCAGGGTAGTGTTAATCAATATCCAGACAACAGTGGTTTTAGGCAAGGAACAGTAGACAAAGAAATATGCATTTTAAGCCTTTTAAAAAGCATACTCACTAGCCCCGATACTGCAGCTGTAGCTGTTGCAATTGCAGGAATTATCTTTCCAGCAATGCGCTTTGTTTTGAACCGATCTGCTGGTTCGATGTTGTACATCTTGGCTCGCAAGTTTGATGCTGCTGTTATGAAATCTATATGCCCATTACTATCGTCATCTTTTTCAAAAGAGATGGGCTTCATTTGCAAGTCATCTGCTCATGAAAAATAAAAAAGAGCAAAAATCATTATTAGAAAACTGAAGATGTTCTAGACATAAGTTATAGGGAAGTAGAACCTTAACAAATTAAAAATTTCACATTCTGGAGCTTGGTGCCTTACTTATAACCTGCGTTCCCATGCTAGAAGAAGAAATGCCCCCATCAATACCAGTCGTTAAAAGCAAGTAATGAAAGAAATATCAGCAGAGCTCCGTAATTTTATTTTGCTTGCAACACCAGGAATAGATTTTGGACAGTCCTATGGATGTTTCTTATACACCCCACCTCAGTAGAGCTCCATCCTGTGTGAATTCCCTCTATAAGCTTTGTCTGTCTGTAAGCATTTCACTATGGACTCAGTAGCACAGGAGACGGAGGTTCAGGTTGACACTCCACGGATGGGTTAGAGCTAAGCTAATCTTCTTCCCCTGTGGTCATGGACTAAAAATGCATGCATGTAATTGTTGCCCAATGACCTCTTCATGTGGCCAGGCACAAGAACAGGATTCAAGCATCCTCATTTCAACATATCTAGAAGATGGTGAAGAAGAGTCTAACAGCCTTCACAATTTAGGATAATTTCAGATTGATGCCTGTCAGTAGTAACTCTCAGCCTCCTCATACCAGAATCACTTTCAGTCCATCTGGGATCTAGCCAGCACCCTTTCCCTCCCTAGAGTTCAATTCCCTGCTGCCTGCTCGCTGTCATCAAGGTTGTACTTATATGCAAGTATAACAGAGAACCCTAAAACTTGCAGGAATCTCAGAAATACAGAAGCATAGGGTAATGTCAAGCAATACGGTCAGTTATCGGCATGGCACTTCAGAAAGCTTTAGATACCAGCTATCTGCTTCTTGCAGAATTACAGAACTGCTTTATCCAAAGACTTGAACGTCCTGCTACTGGCAGTGCAATTGCAAGATGTTACTAGGCTATAAAGCTAGTTTGCACTACTCACTTTCCAGAGCTTCATTGGATAGTATAGACTTCTCCAGCTGGAAAATAGCATTTCTTTCATCCTCACTGCTGACTGGAATATGATCTGGTTTTCTTGCAGTTTCATCAGTCTGTACAACCTGCAAGTGTGTGCAGTGCTTGAGTAATAAAATACACGAAATTTGTACAGCGCAAGTGTGAAGCGTACTAGATTTCCTGGCTTCCCTGCAGTCTTTCCTCCCCAGTTCAAGAGAGACATAGACTTGCTGGAGCAAGTCCAGCCAAGGGCCACAAAGATCATTAAAGAACTGGAGCATCTCTTACACAAGGAGAAGCTGAGAGAGCTGGGACAGTTCAGCCTGGAGAAGAGAAGGCTCTGTGGGATCTTATTAGCGTGTATAATTATCTGATGCAGGGGGAAAGTACAGAAGACAGAGCCAGACACTTTTCACTGGTGCCCAGTGACAGGACAAGGGGGTACAGGCACAAATTGAAGTGCATAAAATTGCATGAGAAACATAAGGAAATATTTTAAAGAACAAAAAAAACACCCAACAAAAACTGTGAGGATGTTTGAACACTGGCACAGGCAGCAGAGAGAGGCTGTGGAGTCTCCAACCCCAGAGATTCAAAACCCAATGGGACGCAGTCCTTGATGGCCTGCTCTAGCTGCCCCTGCTTCAGCAAGGGAATTGGACCAGGCGATCTCCGGAGGTCCCTTCCAACCTCATTCATTGTGTGATTTCAAGTCAAAATATCGGTCTTGTCTCATAAGGCAAGCATTCATGAGACAAGTGTTAACAGTGGGCAGGAAAAATATGAAAACACCCTGGAATATTTGCTAATTTTAAATGATGATAAATGCTAATCACTGCACAATAATGCTTAAACTGTTTTGAAGTTAACACTTCAAAAATAAACATAAAAGTAATGATGCTTCCTTCATATTACCTAGGAAAAAGTAAGAAATTGACACTAGTCTTGGATTGCTTTGAAGTTGTTTATGAGTAAATTTTACTATTTAGATAAGCCTGCAGACTTACACTCATGCTTGGAAAACAATGCTACAACAAATCAATTGCAAAAGGCAAAAAATCCCCACATCCTGCATTTAGCACCTGGTACATAGATATCTTAGCTATATCAAGTTGAAGTAGTCCCGTATGCCACACTCGTTTCCCCAAAACACATTTTAATTTGTGTTTATTTCTCATCAACATCAGTGCAAGAAGTAGTTGGCGATGTGAGACACTGCTTGTGGATTTATTTTTTTTCTTTAAATATCACACTTACTTTGTTTGAAGGTCTGAACTCTGGTACCTTCACAGCTGAAATAATCTTCAAAATAGTTTCCTCTGACAAATCCTGTTATGGTTTTGAAGAAAAATGATTTAAATTCACATCAACTCAAAAAGGCCTCCACAAAAAGACTGTACATCCAGTAGCATTTCAAAGAATACCAAAGCCAAAAAATCCCACAAATAGTCAATGATGTTTCAGTGAAACATCATCACTGAAAGACCAAGCAACATTTCAGTTGCCACAGTGAACCAGAGTGGTGTGAAGGGCCTAGCACTTCAAAAATGAACAGAACTGAAATGTTAACATGACTTACAGGAAAAATGAATTAGAAAAGAAAAAGGGTAACAACAAAAACAAAGGATAAGCAACACAGAGGCTGTGAGTAGCAAAAAGTAAAACTCCCAGACCACAGCTAAATCACTTGATGAAAAAAATGCCTTAAAGAGATCTCGTTTCTGTTTAATTATTATATTGCACAGGAAATAGGTCCATCAAAATAAGAATTCCTGAGTTCAGTGCTTACTGAAAATACCCAATACACTACTTAGTTCTTCTCCAGGTTAGGGATTAAAAAAAAAAAAAAAAAAAAATAACTAAATATAAGCAGTTGCTGAACAGCCAGTGCTGAAGGATAGACTACTTTAAGAATCACTTTAATCAGTTGCTGGAAAGAATTGGCAACTGGACATCAGGCCAAAACTGAACATGTACATCCAAGTTATGCGATGGGAACACTGTTGCAGTATGGATTACCTTTTCTGTGAAAGGAACACAGTACACTGTTGCGAACAGTTTTGCTGCGCTCACAATGAAACTGTAGTGCCTGAAGAAAAGAGGAAGATAATTATTTTTGTTTGGTTGTTTTTTTTATTTGAGTTGCCCAAAGGTTTGCAATCATATTGAACAAGGTCTTGAAAACACACAGAGAAACAGAAATTCCACCCTTCAGTGCACACAGTCCAAAACAGATGACAGATTTTGAGGGACTCAGAAGTCATCCCCAAAATTAAGCAAACTTTGATGAGTGAAGAGTTATTTAATAAAAACCATATTTCCATAACCTCTGCAGTCAAGAAAACAACTACAAATGCTCACATGACATCAGTATGATAATAAAAAGCTTAACCTCAGAAATAGTTTGATATTTGGCATGATCTCAGTTTTCACCCAAACTAAAAAGGGCGATCCAGACAGTATTTCAATGTAGGTGTAGATATGCAGCGGATAAAGGCTTTACAATCCTTCAACCACATCAACTTTTAAAATTATCTGTAATAGCCAAGCCATCTAGATCAGACCCAAATTGTGATGAAGAAGAAAAAGGGTCCCTCCACCAGGTCATTTTAGGTAGCCAATTTAACTTGGCACATCCTGTGTTTCACAATGGGGGCCGGAGGGTATGACAGCAACAACTCAGTAATTCCGTAGTCACACAATAAATGAAATGGATTGTTCTAAGCCACCTCACATTAGACATCGTCAGAACTTCCCACAGCACCCTCCAATCCCATGCCAGTGAAAGTTAGATTACCTGCAGTGGAAGTATGATACAGCTCACCAAATCTGCCACAGCGTAAGACGATGCACTAGTAGTACCTATCAAGTACCAGTCCAACCACTAGTGCTATAAAGCCACTGCCTTGCACTTTCTGCTGTAGGGCGAGTTTTATAGGATGATATAAAACACCTCAGTAGCAGTATCATACTTACAAAGGATCATTCAATTCAAACTTCACTGGGAAAGGTGGCCTCTTTGGTGACTGCCAGAACAAACCTGGTAAGACAGGCATCAGATGAAATCCTAAGGAATCAGGAAAAGCAACGCATGATGTATGCCATGAATTCACAGCAGGCACAAAGGGGCACTTGTACTTACTTCCGTCTTTTAATCGTGTATCAAGGGGAAATGAATGGAGGAGCTGAAGAGCCTAGAGGAAAACCCAGAGCAGCTTTAGTAATTTGTCATATACAGACTGACACAACCACACTAAATCAAGCCTTCTTTTTACTAATGATGTGAAATCTTGACACAGCTTTTAAGACACTCCAAGACGTAGCTGAAGTAATTTAAAGAGTTAAGAAAATCTAAGATGCCCATGTCAAGACAGAGAGCTTAGAGAGCTGTACTACAAGACAGACTTCCCCATTCATTCACAGGACAAAGAGGACAATGTCACCTCATCTGTACACAGTCCAAGCAAGACACTTAATCCAAAAAGCACAGCGTTCCCCCCACCCCGTTGTCCCTTTAGGATTCTTGCATACCGATTCACAACTGGGAATGCAATGTTTTCTCACTGTGACAACTACCACCAGGGCTTTCATACGCACAGATACACATTATGTTTATTAATATACAACATCATGATCACACCTTTCCTACAAAATCACACACACATACTTTAAGTAACACTATGGACCAGATTCTCAGAATGACTGACACTTATTTCAGCCAACCTTTCTGTGATATCTTTGAGAAAATCAGGGATATGAAGATGAGTTCAGTGACAAAAGTTTAGTGGAGGAAACAAAAAGCCACTGTCCTCTAGTAAAAGACATCCAATAATCCTGCTGCTCTGGAAAAACACAGTATGTAGTCAGCTGGAAAAATGCCAAGAAAACTGCACGGAGACTACTGAACAGAGCCACTAGGAGTAAGTTAATAAATCAGACTTAAAAGCTCTACAGCAGAAAGAGGAAGGGATGCAGCATTTTTAAGTTTCAAGTACAGTTCATTATTTACGAAGAAGAGATGGAAGCGAGTGCAAAGACTTGGACACCTAGTTATTAGGGCTACCAAGATTTCTAAAATCCTCATCAGTCTAGAGCCACCTCATTTCCAGGCCATACCTACCTTATGGCTAAAATACTTCTCAAATTTTACTCTTGCTAGTTCCACACACTGTGTCCAACTTCGGGGTCTTCTACTGAGCGTTTTAATAACATGAAAGCAGCCTTCTAAGCTCTCCCCTGATTTTATTCTCTAGATAGGGAAGGAAATATGAAAACAGTAAAACAGTCAAGATTATTGCCAATCCAGTCAAGCAGTAAATATGTTTTTAGTAAGTTTTAGGCAAAAGGAAACAGATGGTCACTTTGTGAATTATTATCCTTCATCCAATTTTCTCCATCAGGTTTTTCCCCAGGTGCTGTGACCTACTTTATTTATTTCCACCCAGCCCTATAGACCATAGGCCATTACAGACTCACAAGAAAAGACAGTAAGCAATTGAGTCTAATTTAACTAAGCCTTCCCTTCATTTTTCCCAGCTAGTTGCACATCAGTGTGACATCTGCTATACACTTGCTAGCAGTGCCTCAGTATTTCAAATAAGTCTTCAGGTTTCCTGAATAAAGTCAGAAAATAACCCAAATTTCACTGAACTTAAATAGAAATAAAATCCATAAAGCATTAGTTTTAACTCTGTATTTTACCCTGGCATCATTCCCCTACCTGTAGAACTTCTTCTGCGGATGGATAGGTTTGCCAGAATTTGTTAAACAATGAAGGCTTGTGAGAAAATGAACTTTCAAACTAGAAAATAAAAAGAACAAATATGGCATTTTGCAAGAAGTATGTAAGATCCCCCACCTTTTCAAATACACATTAAGTTATGCTAAACACCAGCAAGCTTATTCCCTTACCTTATCTCTTGCCCACTGTATCGTATGCTCAATGGCAGCTGGGAAAGACTTCAAGGTGCAAAAAGGTATTTCTTCTTCTGGTGGATCCCGCTGTAATTAAGGAGAGTTGCATTTAAATTTAGGCTTATTAAAGTTTATTGCTAATAATAACACCAAGAATTTCTAGACTATATAAGTTTAAAACTCCACTGTTATAAAATGCAAGGTGCCTTATTTACGTTTAGAACAAAATTTGTTTTATGAACACTAACATATCCCTTCCTGTTTATGGAGAATAATCTAAACTCAACACTGGAAAGCAAAACCTAACTCTAAAACACAAACAGAAGAAATTGCCAGCCAGCTTTTCCAAGATGCGCAGTTTGCATTCACATGCACTCTCAACATGAAATACACCCTTTCACTTAAAGCCAGAAAGAATTCTTTCTTTATGGACCCTAGCAAGACCGTTAGGATGCTCAAAATCCTGTCTCTGTGTCCACATGGCACCATTTCATCATGTTCTCAACCACTGAATTTCTATCTTGTAAAGGCAGTTTCACAAGCACTTAAACAGAGGAACACTGCAAGAGTCTGAAGGTTCATTTCCCCCTTCCCCATTCAAACAGAACAGTTGTGTATGCTTGTAGAAACTGGCAGACTAATTCCTACTCCAGAGGCTTGTGTTTCTCCTGCCTGCCTGTGGAGGTGATAGTCACCAAGAACAGAATGAGCAGGAAGAAAGCAGTTCTAAGAAAGAAACCCACAAGTACAAAACCAGTTTGCAGTGTCCTTGCAGGAATAGATTCTTACTTAGAAGTGAGTTTTCAAGGGGGAAAAAATAAGTCAGTCCCTTGGAAACGCTTCAGAATGAGGGCTTTCTCCAAAGCTTGCGTTTCATGGTTCATATAGCAGTTGCTTTTAATTATTGGTCTAGGTGTGATCATCAGCTAGGTAGCAGACATATCTCCAGTCTGCTCAAATTATATTTTCTGTGAGCTTTTCATCAGAAACCAAGGAACTCATGATCTCCTAATAGTACTGATCCTCAGCAACTCAAATAGATACACAAACGATTAAAGAATTGGAGGGCATTAAGGGACTACCTACGGAGGGTGACAGTCTGAAAACACTTACGTGACTATTATAGGACTCTGTTAGATGGGGCACAATAACTTCCGTGTGTCCTTTCGTTCCCATAGTTCCAGAGTCTATAAGAGGACGCAGGTTTGCTACACAACGACTGACATGGAAAGACACAGACTATCAGAACACAGCACAATCACTGCACTCTTGCCTTGCAGACGTTACCGGAGTGTAATCAGAATTGACTCTAGGCACTTTTGAAAGAGTGGAAAGCTTACACCAAACTTGGGAAAAGAAAAGATTAAATAAGAGCCATTTCAGGTTAGATCAGGATACAATAAACCTGATCCTACCTGGATTAGGAGCATTAGTAATTATTTTTAAATGTAAACATCCCTACTTATAAATTTAAATACATATTCTTATGCATAAATAATTCAGCCTTAAGACTGCCACTGCATTCTCCCCCGCATCAGATCTTGAGAGCTATTAATTTTCAAGAACTCACTCCAAAGCTCTCTGCCATGTGACCAGTAGCAGCTGCACAACAGGAGAGCTGGTTTCCACTGCAAGTATAAACCCCTTCCTCCCCCCAGCCAACATCTCTATAGAGGAGCAAGACACATCTGAACTATTTGCTATCAGATCTTATAAGCAGTTGCAGATCAGGAATATTACGAATAGAAAAGCAGAGTTCACATAAGAACATGAAAAGCAGCCCTTGCTTCCTTTCCACAACCTACCTATCAATGTATCTCCTTGCCTCAACATTGTCCAAAGCAGTCACAATCACATCTTGCTTGGTATAGAATTCATCACTGTAAGTGTTCTCAGTGGCTGGACAAACTTTATTAATATATGAGTCAATCTTTAAGTAAGGATTGATGTTCAGAGTTGCTTCTGCTGCAGTATAGCTTTTGGGTTTCTGAAAGTATAAATACGTATATATAAGAACAACATTCAGAAAAAGAACATCTGGGGGACAGAAGTATCGACTTCATTTGCTGATCAGACAGCAATTCACCAACAGAAATGTTAGTATGCAAAACATATAATAAAGGAAATTCTTTAATCATATACCTCCCTCACTAATAAATACATTATTAATCTAGGGGGTTTTTAGTTTTATTTAAAGTAGTGTGTCAGACACCATAAGGTGAAAGTGCTTAAATGGTGCAGCAGAATTGTATCAAGTAACTGAAACTGATGCCACGTGCTGCGCCTCATGCTCTCAAAATGCCATAAGGAGCAGTTCATGACTGTCAGAGGATAAACCCATTAGTTACTGTGACTATGTCTACGCAGTACAGACATCAAACATCTGTGAATAATCACATTACTGCAAGGCTTCCCACACAAAGCCAATTTCAGAAGCTAAACTGAAACAGAGTTCTTAACCTACCTGACACTTCTAGCCATACTACATTCAATTATCTAGGGATCAGAACTCAGAACAGCGCAACTCGAGACAGTGTGGCTTCTGAAAGCTTGCAGATTCACCTTCCATTTATCTAGCCATCCAAAATGTAATCTGTTCCCAGATTTGCCAGACACAAACCGGAGGCAGAAAATTCAGCTGCTGGGTTTTGGGCAGGGGAATCCCTTTTCCCCATTGCTGTCAAGATCTGAGCCACCTTTTCTATTTTGTGCTGTGTTTCAAGTACAGGGATATTCTCTCTGCTTCTAAGGAATATCACATATTTACTAAATATACATGGCTTTTTGCCACGCTATTTACCAGCTTAATGAAGACTGAATTAAGTCAGAAGACAGCAACTTTGGTCAAGTTCCATTAGAAGTAGCTCTTCTATTGAGAACACTTCTGCCAGTGCTGTCTATTTTTTGTTCTTTTGTCCTATTCTCCATGAATTTCCATAGCATAGTAAAGCATTTCTGGCATATTAACCCATTGCAGCTTCTTATGCAAAACAGTGTTCCTCATCTGATTCTCAAGCTTGAGAGATTCCCTTAGTCAGACACCACAATTAAGTCAGCACAAATTAAGATCAGACCAGCCAATTTCACTCAACTGGTAATAGTGATAAGTGGGATGCCAACATAGTTCTAAGTATTGTTTTAAAAGATACTGGATTTCATTACAGCCTTTAAGTCTTTTCTGGACAGAAATACATACACTCACAAGTTCAACTCTCGGTGAGGACACGGGACAGGGAAACAGAAAGTTTATTGAACAAGAAAGCCTACCTGTATGTGATGAGGTCGAAAAAGAAACTGCCTGTTCAGGTTGGATTTCTCTATCAAGTCTGGATCTGTAATTGTAACCTAAGTCAGAAGGGGCAAAAGCAACAGCTGAAGTTACAATTTAAGAGCAGCACTAAGCAATAATCTTGATGAAAACTCTACAGAAACTTGTCAAAACAAAGTACTCCTGTTGGCACCCGCTGTGGCTAATAGCTCTGCCTATACTGACTGATTAAATTTTCTTTTAAAATAAAAATACAGCAAGACTGCTCCAAGTGTGTTCTGCTTCTAATTGCACACTATTTCTATGCTCAGGTCATTTTACCCTCGGCACAGAGATCAGCCTGAAATAACGCTTAGACTTTTTAACAATTTTAAGTAGTCTAATTAAATAATTAGTCCTTGTCACATTACTTTTTAATAAACAAAGTGAAGTTAACAGGTGACTTACCAAGCCTTTGTCTTGCCCAGTACCGACACCAAGAAGTGCGAAGTTTTTTAGCATTTCACAGCCTATCGCTCCACAGCCAACCTAAAGAAAACAACATTGTTAGAGACAGAAATGTAAGTGAAAACCATGAAGACAAGTCCCGTTACAATTTTGGACCATTTATTCTGCAGTGGCACACATCATCAGGGCTGCTGTCATTATTTTGAAGGCAGTGGATGTTAGCTGTATCGACAAAGCATTTGCAAAAAGCGTAACAGTATCAGTCAAACTCACCAAGAAAACATTCAAATCATGCAGCTTCTGGCACAGAGAGTCTCCAATACAAGCCCTCAAGGCATCATACCTATCTCCCCTATGCAGGCATAGGGGACAGAAACAGAAGACTAGTAAGTTGCCATTTATAACGGTCGTATCATTGATGCCAAACTGCACTTTGACACAAACTAAGAAAATCAGACTGAGTCCCCTATAATTCCTATTTATCCCACGCTCAAATAGGACACATGTTCTCAACCCCAAACCTGTCTCTCCAGCAAATGGTACTGAATTAACTTTAAAAGACATCTTCTGTGCCTGCCTGAGACTCAGACGTGAACAGTACATAAAACAGTAGATTGTAGTTATATTTACCGTGGGAGAAATTCTTCAGAGCCCCTCTTTTCTAGAGGTGTTACAATGTCTAACATGTCGATATATAGCTGTAAAAAAGTAAAAAAACCAATAAAAACCTGTGAAAAACTTTCACGTTATTTTCCTTTATAAAATAAAGTAAATGCTTTCTATGTACAACAGCTTAGAAATATAGAAGCACCAAGTTTTTAGTGTCAGTGGAAGACTATACAGCATTCTGTTCCCTACAGTTCACCTCACAATGTTAGTGGACAGGAAAAAGCACAGAGGGAAAGAAAAACTCATTGAAACATGTTACCCTTCCAAATTAGACCGTGAAGTTTTAAAATCTAACTTTATCCTGACACATACACTGAGACTCTGAAAGCCCTGCTCTTGAGTACAGTAGCTTAAGTTGGCCGCTGGACTATATTACACCTTTGCAGCCATGCACTGACAGGCCAATGCTCTCCTTGCTTGTGGAAACAAAAGAATGCGATGTCTGAACCCCAAAATATGAAAAGCTTGACTAAAACTGGTTGCATTTTTATTGTTTACATAGAAACATGGTTTTTTTGCTAAATTCAGTCTCAAGTCTTTTTTTTTTTTCCTGTTATAGAAGTTGTTCAGGCTATTTTGATCATAAAACATTTACACACAAACACACGTTTGTAACATGACTGTCAAAATAAAGATCCAAAACCAAAAACATCCTTACCCACTGCTGTAACGGAGAAAATTTTCCTGTTACTGCTTTCAAGACTTCCTGGCTAGCAACACCACCCAATACTGCAGCCAGAGGAGCTAGAAATCCCTGAGCAGTCCTAGACAACCATTTCACTACATCTCCGTTCACCTGAGGCTGAAAAATCAGACAGATAAATAATAAAAATAACAACAGATTTATCCCTTCAGTCAAGCAAGTCAGTGCTTGACAGTTTCATAGATTATTGTTCTTCAGTAAAAGATAGACAAATTATTTCACTCTGACTAGCAAAAAGGCGTCCAGCCAAGACAGACCCACTGTATACCCTGTACTTGTAATATGCATTTATCTAAAATCTGGACTCATATAGCCACAGGATTCAACGTTCATGTCAGGTGAACGTTTGGTTGAACCAGTGCTGAAACACCATTCTGTATCCTTGCATGGCCTTTAGAAATCCAGCTGATCCATCTAAAGATGGATACGAAGACCAGAACAAGGACCAACAACTAAAGCATGACCTTTAGGCAAGTAAATGAGCATATCAAAAATGACTCAGAATGACGATGATTCCCTACTCACTTTGTTTTCCAGTGTTTCACTTATAGACATGGCTATTTTCAGCATTTCCTCAGCATCTTGAAGGCATCTAGACACCAGGGTAGAAACAACAATGATGACAAACATTCCAGAGTCCTTCTAGAAACACAATCAATGGAGAGAAAAGCACTGGATACAGTAGGAAGTCTGGAAGTGAACATTAAAGATGCACTTCTAAATGATATGGTTAGCTCAAGAACAGGAGTCTCAGTGGAGAAGCTCATGTGCAAGTCCAGTCTTAAGATTTATACTTTGTAAGTAGTTTAACTCAAAATTACGCACATCAAGAACTACAGCTGAAAAAAACAAATTGAGCATGAAATACAAATCCTTGGACCATTTTTATTAAAAAAAAAAATGTCATAAGCTACAGGATAACCACTGAACAACTTTTCCATATTAACCCCACAATGTGAAAAAACTGAAACAGAGGAGGACTTCCTCCAGAAGCATTTTCTATCCACCTGGGCCCAGAAAGTGCCACTGCGATACTGGGAAAGCCCTGTTACAAACCCAGCCATACATTACATAACGTTTCTCATCTAGATTTCAACTTATCATTTCTATGTTGTCTATTAAGTACCACAGAGACAAGGTACCTGCTGCACATCGGACCAGTAACTACAGTAAACGGAGAGATCTTTCTGATTCAAGGCTTAGCAAACACAAGACTACTACATTACCCAATGTTTGGTCCGCGACCAAAGTTCTCCTGGAAGTGGTTCAAGGCAAGCATGGCAACATGGATCTGCAAAGGCGCCTGTTAAGACAATAGCAACTGATCAGTTACAAACTTGAAAACATTGAAGGAAACAAAAGCAACTATTTGAATTCTTCAGTTATCATTTCACTTCCTTGTCTCTTAACCATACTACTCAAAAAAAGTTTCTAAATAGAATTAAAAAGTGAATTTGAAATAACTTACACTAATTTTTTTTTTTTTTGTAAAAACTGGGATTATAAATAGTAATAATGCAATATCCTTCACATACATTCAGCACCCACCTCAACTAAGTCCAACTAAAGAGCTCCCAACAGAATTTAGTGCTGAAATTGGAAGATGCAGCAATCTTTCTTTAACTAAACATTATAATGCATTGCATTTTGCCAAACTTCAATACCAAAGCCCAGCATTAAGGGTCAAAAGCAGAAAATCTGAACAAGCAAGTCAGACTTTACGTTATCAAACAAACAAAAAAATCACTAGATCCGTATTTTTTAGTTTAAGATTCTAATGAGCCCGAGACTTACATGCCTTGCATGTCCATAATACTTAACTAAAGTTGTGTTAGAGGCAAATACAGCTAGCTTCCTCTCAGATTTTAAGAATATCTCTGAACCATTTTTTCAAAGAAAAAAAGTGATCACCTTTTTCTGATTATCCCAGCTTTGATGCCAGTGTGATTTTTATCAACAAAACTTCATTAAATACAGGGAAAAAAAAAATCATTGCATCGCCTGCAAAATTTACAGTACGTGAATTAAACACTTATTAAAAACTGAGATTTTAAACAGCAGAGGTGGTTGAGCTATGCATTTACAATACACTTGGTGCAAATCATGGATAACAAGCCTCTACCGCGATCTAAACCGTAATGTATATTCTGTGTGACCATGCAAAATGATACCTCACTCTTATTTCATACTTCAAACTCATATTTAACTACTACAGAATAGAGTTAGGAAATTATATTGTTCAACACATAAAGCTGCAGATTACATTCCATGTAGTTTTAACATTAAAGCACTTACGCCCAAATCCCCACAGGCTAATTACCTCAGGCTTGCTAAAATCCGCAACAAGGTATAGTGGATTAGTTATCTGCTTCTCCAACTGTTCCTGGAAAAATAGAATTCATGGTAACAACACACCCACTTAAGGGCATGACAGTCACTGCTACCTGACAAAACAATACTCTTCCTGGAGAGACTAAGAACCAAGTATCCTTTCTTACTAGCATTGCTATTACTCTCTCCATTATTAATACCACAAAAGATGCATAAAGTAATTATCTACTGCAAATTTCCTCACTTAAAAAGTCAGAAAGATGTTTCACATCCTAGTGGCAAGACTCATCTCTTAAACTGCTCTGAGGTCGGCTGCCAGAGATTTTATAGGCAACTTACCTGTTTGCTCGTAGAACTTCCCCACTCAGGAAGAATAGGAAGCTACTGCTTTACAAAGACAAGACATGGAGCTGTGCATTCTCAGATCAGAGAGTGGGCGAGCAGCTGGTTCTTGCTCCCAGCTTTTTAGAAGAATGTTTGAGGGTAGTCAGGATCTACCTTCTGTGGGCCCAAACAGGTGCACAGCACTATGTAGCTTGCAACCCCTCTTATAAAAACTCAAACTGCCTCTTCTCAGAAGGCTGCCAAGAGACCACATATTCGTAGACCTTCATGGAGTGCCCAGCAGTACAGAGACAGGCTGCCCACATTTTTTGTCTCTACACTGGCAGGTAACTTTGAATTATTTCCTATTCTCTGTGGTTTAGTAAATAGCTATCACTATTCTTACCCAATAAAATCAATGTAAACCCAAATCACGGGTAATCAAATCATGTGTCTGCCGAACTCTGCTTCCAGTGCTCAGACCACTAATACTCAAAAACCTGGTTAGGTCAAGCACACACTTACAAAGTAAAACATCTTGGGCGTCTTCACTTGGACAGCTATACCTCCATGTAAGTAAGGCTCCATATCTGACGTGTCGCCAATGCTGAAGGAATAAGGTGACACCACTGAAAACAGAAGAGAATAAACAATGACTGATAATTAAAAGTGTCACTGGATGCTACAATTCTGTATACAACAAAGGGGTGTTTTGTCAATGTCTTTTATGCTGTAATTTTGTAGTATGCAACCTTGCTCTGAAAGCATAAACACAGCTGATCCTGCTAACAGGATTGTCCCTCTCTGCCAGTGTCTAGGCTAAAGTGTTAGTTTCACATGATCTATTATGAAATAAGCTTTTCAAAGTGGCAGCAGATTTAACAAGAATTCTGATGACCACAGCTCTGTAACAAAAATGAAATCACTCTCAGCTTTATTTAGAGACTGTGTACAGCAGTGTCCAGTATACTGCTCTGAGTAGGATTTTAGTCCCATGACTAGCACAATAGGCAATAAAGAAGGGCAGTTCGAGCATTTAAGTCACATCTTTCCTCTCATACCACCTTGAGCATCATTCAGATAAAGCAAGAAGACACAAAAATTGTTAATTCATGGAAAACTGAAACCAAAAGCTGGGTCATGATTAAGCAGAAGCAACTGAACACAGCATCAGCGCTAGCAAAACAAAAGGGTGCAGAGAAAACAAACTAACTCAACCACGTGTTTCAAGGCTACCGTTTTTGTCTCAGACCACAAAATAGCTAAAAACAAACAACCATCCCACACCCACCTGCTCTCTCTTCTGCTCCAAACAGGCATTCAGATCTGGGAAGTGGACAATTCCCCAGCATTCAAAAGGAACCAAGTAGTATGCCTTGAGACATGCATGATGCAGAGCAAAGCAGTGTAAACACAAATTCAAGTGCTCCAACATCTGCTGGCAAAGCAGCACAGCCAGCTGTAGGCAATCCAGAAGACTCCTGGAGTTCACTGATGACAATTTCTTAAGCCAATTAATAGACAGCCCTACCCTACGGGTGCGATATTGGGCCTGATGGTCATCAACACAAGTGAGCTAATCACACAGGTCAAGGCTGGAGGCAGCCTGGGCTGCAGTGATCACGCACTGGTGGAGTTCGCAGTCCTGAGGGTCAGGAAAAGAGTAAAGTCCAGACCCTGAATTTTAGGAAAGCCAAATTCCAGCTGTTCAAGGAATTAGGCAATAGGACCCCCTGGGAAACTGCCCTCAGGGACAAGGCAGCAGAACAGAGCTGGCAGATCTTTAAGGATGCTTTCCACAGAGCACAAGAGCTCTCAGACGCCAGGTGTAAGAAATCAGGCAAGGAAGGCAAGAGACCAGCATGGCTGAGTTGAGGCCTCCTGGTCAAACTAAAGGGCAAGAAGGAAATGCACAGACATGGGAAGCAGAGACAGGTATCCTGGGAAGAGTATAGGGACACTGCCCGGTCATGCGGGGATAATGTCAGGAAGGCCACGGCGAAGCTGGAGCTGAACTTGGCAAGGGATGCAAAGAATAACAATAAGGGCTTCTACAGGTAAGTCAGCTAGAAAAGGAAGGTCAAAAAAGTGAACTCCCCCATTGAACACGACTGGAAAACCGGTAACAGTGGACGAGGAGAAGGCTGAGGTACTCAACAGCTTTTTCGCCTCAGTCTTCACTGGCAACCTCTCTTCCCACACCTCTCAAGTGGATGGACCACAAGACAGGGACTGGGGGAGCAACGTCCCTCCCACTCTAAGAGAAGATCAGGTTTGTGACTGTCTGAGGAAACAGAACATACATAAGTCTGTGGGACCTGAAGAGATGCATCCCAGAGTCCTGAGGGAATTGGCCAATGTAGTTGCCAAGCCACTCTCCAGCACATTTGAAAAGTCACAGCAGTCAGGCGAAGTCCCTGGTGACTGGAAAAAGGGAAACATTGCACCCATTTTTTAAAAGGGTAGGAAGGAGGGCCCTGGGAACTACCCACCTCTCAGCCTCACCTCTGTGCCTGGGAAGATCATGGAACAGATCCTCCCAGAAGCCATGCTAAAGACAGGGAAGCAATTCGAGACAGCCAGCATGGCTTCACCAAGGGCAGGTCCTGCCTGACCAACCTAGTGGCCTTCTACAATGGAGTGATCACTTCAGTGCACAAGGGAAAAGCTACAGATGTCGTCTGTCTGGACTTCTATAAGGCCTTTGACACAGTCCCTCACAAAATCCTTCTCTCTAAATTGCGGAGATATGAGTTTGATGGATGGACTGTTCGGTGGATGAGGAATTGGTCAATGGCTCAATGTCCAGACGGAGACTGGCAACAAGTGGTGTCCTTCAGGGGTCAGTATGGGGACCAGTACCATTTAATATTTTCATCAATGATACAGAAAGCGGGATCGAGTGCACCCTCAGCAAGTTGGCAGATGACACCAAGCTGAGTGGTACAGTTGACACGCCTGAGGGATCAAATGCCATCCAGAGGGACCTGGACAAGCTGGAGACGTGGACCCATGTGAACTTCATGAGGTTCAACAAGGCAAGTGCAGGGTCCTTCTTGTGGGTCGAGGCAACCCCCGCTATCAATACAGGCTGGGGAATGGAGTGATTGAGAGCAGCCCTGCCAAGAAGTACTTGGGGGCGCTGGTTGATGAGAACCTGGACATGAGCTGGCAATTTCCACTCGCAGCCCAGAAGGCCAACCATATCCCAGGCTGCATCAAAAGAAGCATGGCCAGCAGGTCGACGGAGGTGGCTCTGCCCTTCTGCTCAGCTCTGGTGAGACCCCACCTGGAGTCCTGTGTCCAGCCTTAGAGCCCCCAGCCCAGGAAAGACCTGGAGCTGTTGGAGTGGATCCAGAGGAGGGCCACAAAGATGATCAGAGGGCTAGAACACCTCTCCTACGAAGAAAGGCTGAAAGAGTTGGGGTTTTTCAGCTTGGAGAAGGCTGCAGGGGAGCACATCTTGGTGTCTCTACCTTACCCTATGACTCGTAAGACAAGGGGTAATGGTTTTAAACTAAGAGGGTAGATTTAGGCTGGATATAAGAAATTTTTCACAATGAGGGTGGTGAAACACTGGAACAGGTTGCCCAGAGAGGAGGCAGATGCCCCGTCCCTGGAAACATCCAATGTCAGACTGGAAGGGGCTCGGAGCAACCTGATCTAGTTGAAGATGCCCCTGCTCACCGCCAGGGGGCGTGGAATCGGTGACCTTTAGAGGTCCCTACCAACCCCAGCTATTCTGATTCCAAATCACGAGAATCACTTCGAAAGCATGCTTAGAAACAGAGTGTAGTCAATGTATCCCTGAACACTTAAATTTTCACCCAAAAAACTACAAGGCAAACAGTGACATACAAAACAGTGTTAATTTAGTCCAAAACATGACCGAAGCACAGGCATTATGGGACCCTCCAGAAAACAAACGGGTTTTGTAAGCAAACTAATGACAGTAACTTCAGAGGCTGCCAACTAGTTTCTACTAGCTGAAAGCTTCCACTGTTCCTTAATCAGCAAGATGAGTTTGGAAAGACTTTACCAAATGGAAATGGAGTCAGGATAACATTAGGAAGACCTTTGCACCAGATAGCTATGTTTTTTGTGCAAGCTCACTGGAGGTCTGCACAACCCAGCACTCCTCTGGCTACAGTAACTAACACCACAGCGAGCTAAGACAGGCCAAAAAATAAATATCTTGCAAATGGGTCAGCAACAGTTTACCTGTTATTTGGTGTGTGGATCCATTTAAGCATGACATTCCATTCACTTCCCGAAAGGTTAAAAACTGTCCTGTTTCAAGCCTGTGTGGATGATTTTCAAGGCAAGTGACAATACCAGGATTTGACTGAAAGTGAAAAGGCCAAAGTTAGCAAGGAGGAAAGCATCTTGTGTAAAGGAGTCACGCTTTATCATAGACACATCGCTTTTTGCCTCTTGAAACTGCAGCCTCTAATACTTATAGCACCTCAGTTCTTCCATAACAAGGGAGGTATGGATGATAACTTTTTCAGTCCTGTTATTTTCAGTTTAACAGTGGTTTCATAACCCAGACTTTCCCATTTTTACCTTTTACAGTTCTCAGAATGTTAGCAAACTGCATTTGTTAGTTCAAAAGAGAACAAGGAATTTGACTGCTTTGAAGTAGTTGCAAATTTATGTCCTTTTTCCAAACTAAAAATAACAACTAAGAAATTTTCACAGACATTAAGAAATAAAGTCTTGTGAATGGTCCTTATAACTCCATGCTTCCTTTCCATCTGATCTCCTTAAAAAGGACACCCTAAACTCTTTCTTGAAAGTTAGGAAGTTTACAAAGCTGGACATCCTTAAATACAGGAAAGCCAGTCTCAAGCGGATCACAAACAAGCAAGCTTATACTTGCAGGAATCTCTGACAACATCTAATCCTGTTACAGGATGTCATGCCAACCTCCCATGCACACAGAGATCCCTCCTCAGTTTGACGACAGCTCATCAAGACCTTGTGGTGCAGCTCAGGCTGTAAACATAGTGGATTTGCAAGCAAGCCTGGCCTGTAAAGTCTCCTGTCTTCCCTTCCTGAGCTCCCAATATTAGAAAGATTTCAGTTAATTAGCATAAAATCTAATTACAGTGGACTACATTCTCTGTGGCATGGAGAATGACAAATGAGTTGACCAGAGAAAATTCTTCCATGATTTAGGGACAGAATGCCACCTCAACCCTGTCCACAGGACAAGAACAGCCACTTGATGGTGGTTTTGGTATTGAGTTGCAATTCTGATCAGTTTTACACTTCAGATAGTGGAAGCAAGATACAACTAAGGTCAAGTATCAGATTATGAATCACAGTATATATATATACAGATATATATTCATTCCTTGACTTGGCAGGCAATCAGCACAAGCCACGAAACATAACTGTGTACCCTTTATGTAATTAACCAGAATAATCATCTGTTCACTTTTAAAGATATCAAAGAACAGGCTACCCAAACCACCATACCATGAGCTTTAATTCAGTTCAAACCCAACTTGCTATACAAATCTTTCTCTAGTTTGGTTAGTATTACATCTAGACTTGAGATATGACAAAAGATTTGCTACTAGATGAGCGAGGTTATAGTCTGCACTTCCAGAGTTGAGAGAAGCGGCTAAAGTTGTTTCCATTTATAAAACAATAATACAAGATCAAATGGACATCCTCTCTAACATTCTGCACTGGAAGTATTATCAATACTACAGTATTCTTGTCACCGCTGCTTTGGTAGGTTAAAACAAACCCTTAAATTCCCTTTCAAAACAGGCTCTCAATCCCCTTGATCATTCCAGTAGTCCTCCTCTACATGTGCTACAGTTTCTCATTAAAAAGGGGCTATTTTCATGCCTATTTCAGGGCTTCCTTAGAAGATTAAACCTATTCCCACACTTAGGCTACGTCTTCTTCTCTCTCTCTCAAAAAACAAAAAAACTCAAAAAAACTCAACATTGTGATATTACTTTGTAAGTAATGACCAGGAAGCATCAGTATGCTCTACGGTGTTAGCATGTTATCACTGACTGGTTTTGATAGAGACACAAGAATGAAGTAACTTTCTTTGCCTCTACTATACTGCCAATTTTCAACTTCTTAGCAGGCTGCTGAAGTGAAACACTCTGCTTGGTCACGTAGCCAATAACAAGCCATTATAAAAAAAAATTCAAGCAGCACAATGACTTCTATCCCTTACTTGTGTTATATTTGAAATGAAAATCTCCTTTGGTTCCTCTCCTGTGGTATCCAGCACTTCAAATTCATCACCGAAGTCACAAAACAAACGTGAACATATTCCATATACGTCTGCACTGATGAACTACAAAAGAAAGTAAGTGTCATGAGTATCCCTAAAACAGCACAAGCCAAAGGAATGACCTCTCACGTTCAACCTTGTCCAAGGCTAGCAGGTTTAACTTCTATGGTGGAAACCTGTCATGTGCACCCAGGCCACTGACTATATAGCATGTCGTTCATGACAGACTTTGAACCTGCATGAGCATTTCGGAACCCCTACACAAAAAACAGGAATCGTACCAAAACTGTTACATTCAGTCTCAGCACATTCTTTCAGAACAATTATGAGTTAACAGTGACAACTGCCTGTAACAGATTTTTTTTTTTTTTTTTTTTTTTTTTTAAGAACTGAGCTATGGTTATCTGGGCTGGTATCTAGATAACACCAGACACATGTACACGTACAGCAGCAGCATCGTACTCCCAAAACTCACATTGCTCCATCAACATGCTATTGCCATAGATCTATATACATCATAACCAGCTTTCTCCATTTCTGGACAGAACACGTTGGAGGTCCAGAATGCTCACTGTACAGATTATTCACGTGTTTAATTTTTGTCTTACCTTAATAGGTGGCTGCTGAGCATGACAGAAGTAATTAATCTTCTTCTGCAGCAACAGACTTACTTCAGTCAATATGACACACTGTGAACAAAACCAGAAATAAACTGAAGACACCAAAAGCAATCAACATCTTCAGACTATGGAAAAAGTAGTACTAACAGTAAGTTACTCAGGTGTCCCGATTCCTTTCCCCCACACATAAGAGAAAGCAGTCTTGAGTCAGTTTTCTCATTACACACTAGAACAGAAGGGTTACTGCTCCACAAGTTCTGGAAACAAGTTGAGCAAGAGCAAGAACAGCAAATTCTCGCTGCTTTTTACTGCAGTTGTGAAACTCAAAACCTAATTCGAATACTTATGAAAACAGTTACAAATAATCTCAGAGCAAATATAGATCTTGAATTTCAGGATTAAAGTTAGCAAAACTAACACAAATTATACTCATTAGTGCACATCCAGAAGTCTGCAGAAGCTTCAAGTACTGGTGCTCATCAAATGGCAGATGTACAATTTCTGCAAGCATTCATTTAAAGTTTAAGATATGAGTTACAAAGCATATGCACTGCGTCCCATTCAGTTACACACGACAGGGACATTCAGAAACTTGGTGAGCTTGGGTATAACTGACCGCCACACAGTAAAAGTTCCCAACTCAAACTGAGCCATGCACACAGGCAGGAGACAGCTGGCTGAACAACTGAAAACATCCTCATTCCATGACAGAGGAGCTTATGTTTCATTAGATACATACATAAACGATCTTTCTAATTATAGCCTGAGTTTCTACCGCCTGGAATACAGGACACAAAACATACGTAGAACACCTGCGCTATGTAGCTGCATAAAAAAGTCACAGCTTCACCTTCAAACAACAACAAAAAAAATTGTATGGCAATCTCACTTAGCTATTTATTGTCATAGTAAATATAATAGTAAGTGTTGTAAAAAGTATTAGGAACACAAACCCACTGTTTTGGCCTTGAAAAAAACCAAGCACAACCATTTCATTTGTCCAAATACACAACCTACTTCTTTCTTTACATCCTCTCAAAATGTACTTTGAAGTTTGTTTTAACTGTATTTACTGATATAAAAAAATTCCAAGTCGTTTGCTCTGAGCGAAATACCACATACAACTGCTTTAAGAGTGACATACCTGGTACTGCTTTAGAAAAGACAGATCTGTGGTTTCATCTAGCGGCACAGTTGATGCTGCTACTTGGACATATGGATTAAGTTCTGCAATATGATGAAGTGTGGCCTCAGCCCTGAAAGAACAGCAACTTTCAAATTTTTTATGCACCTACAAAACTGTATTTTCAGTTCAGAATTTCATACCACACATGCCCTACAAGAGTCCTTTAGGAAGTCTGGCAACAATCACCAACTCATTTATTCACACTTTAATTCCTAGCAGGTCTGAGGAAAACAGCTCTGTCCAATATACAGCAGGACTCATGGATGGTCTGGTGTCATGGCTGTCTTCTAGTGTCACACAGGCAGGTGAGCAAGCCCAAGGAATAAATGCACCCTGGCCCCCACTATTAAGTTTACATTTCAAGCTCCCAACTGCAAGAAGTGAGATGTTTGGCTTAGACAGAATTCCAGTCCCAGCCTAGACTTCCCCTAATACCTATCTGGGCACTGCACTCGAAGCCAGTAACTCCAGAGAAAGGGTTTAACAAGTATTTGATACGTATTAGCAACTCTTGGACAGTAAACTGTTATTTTTGATGCTGATGAAACTGTTACTGCTACTCAAGTTCAGTCCTCCCTCACTCCAAAGACTTCACCAACCTGTTCCTTTGACTGGTAATATCATCTTCATGGATGAAGAAGTTGATCCCCAAATCCCATTTCATGCACTGCTTGGTGTCATGAACGGTAAGAGCCTAAGAAAGTTTGGGAAAAAGCATTTACTGGAAGAAGAGTATATGGACATAGCACCCAAAAGGATGGATTAAGCCCCACATAAAATGCTGGAGGACCAGCAGTGGAGAAGATTTAGTTGTACCACATATAACTACAAGCTCCTCCAACTTCTTTTCCAAGAAATCTCTGACTATTTGAGAGACAGAAACGCATCTGCAATATGCATTCATGAAGCACTTTTCTCCCAGCTTACAGCATTTAAATACCGAGGATGATTTTTGCCACACTGCAATTAAGGGGCAGTTGTGATCTGTAAATTAACGGACTCCCAAAATTATAAAAAGGTTTTTTTGATTGGAAGAAAGAGGTTTAAAAGGCTTCTCTCTAATAAAATTAATCCCAGCAGCACAAAAGCAGTTGTCAGGTTAAAATATCCAACCATTCTAACGTCTACACAAAAGGATTTCAACAGATGACAGAACAGGACAACATATTTTGAATAGTTTGGCTTTTGAGTTCATACCACTCCATTTAGGAGAGGCCATTTTGTACAAAAGGATTCAATGTCTTATCAGCAGTTGACTAAAATACTACATGAGGTATTTCAGAGTGCAGTGGACATTAGTGTGAGACTTGGACCGTACTACTAGAACATCCAGATTATTAAAAGCTTTCACCTCCAGGTCCTCAAATGTTTTGCAATCCTTCTACCAAAAGACAGTTTCAGAAACCTAAGATGAGCTAGCTAGTAGCGCTGTCCCTTTTTCTCCTGCCTACCCAAGAATACCCAACAACAGAACTGTCTTACATACCTTTACCCCAGCCAGAATTATATTTTTGGCTGAAAAAAAAAACAGAAACAGAGAGGGACTGTTGATGGTTTCTTGCAAATTTGTAATTGAATAGTTATGTGGGTGGATAACAACAGTATGTCATTGCTAAGAACCTCACAGCTTAAGAGTTTGTTCTATTCTACATTAGGCTCAAGCACTCTACAGCATCACTGAAAGCAAAATAGTACGAGCAAGGTTAAAAAGGCTCTCTACATTTGTCACCTCTTCACCCCACAAGCGTGATTACAGAGACACTAATGACAATAAACTGCAAAACTCCATGACTCTGTTCTGGCATCTGGTGCAGAGTACCCTTACAGCTAACTGAAAGGGTAATACGCCAGGTAAGAACCAGTGAAGACAAGCCTTGCTCATAAAGAGAAAGGGAAATTGTTAAGAAGTCTCTTGCACCAGGGCAGTTATGCATTTTTCACCAAATTGCACCTGTTCTCCTACCTCCCACCCCCCCCATTTCCTACACGGGGATAATTTGGGCTATAGCTGTTCCTGCATTACATTCACTGATACTGATGCCTAAAGGATTAACTTGGATTATCCACCCTCAACCTTCACCCAAGACACCAGATTTTGGCTAAAGTGATCTGGCCCATGGAAGCACACTTTAAAGTAAAATTTGAAATGCTGTTCTAGTAAAAAGCTTACTGAAGAAATGGCCAGGATCTTTCCTGCATCTGCTGTGTTATTCATACACATCATGCACACAGAAATTCACTCAGATATTTCAGACATGCTTATTACATCTAAAATAAGCTTTACAAGTACTCTGCAACAGAATGTTTACATACACATGCGTCTGCTTAAACAAATGTTACCTAACTTACCAATCTCCACACCAAGACCACCCATACCACTCAGGAATACGTGGGACTGAGCCATCTTCTGCATTGCCATGTCTCCAAGAACATACCTCTGGCGACTACGGCAAAGATCGATTCAGATCAAAACAACATACAAACAAAATCAAGAGCACATAAAAGGAGGTCAAGAATTCCCAATCATTTCCATAAAAGTCCAAATATTTTCAGTTATTCTATCATCCCAACCACCTTCTAATCCGCAGTACCAAGTTCTGCAGAGGAGTGTGTGTCACTAGCAACATGTGCACAGTTCCTATTTACCAGCCCTCCGTTCAAAAAGGACCTGAGGACATAACATGCATGTACTTGAATTGTACAGCGCTTCAGGAAATACATGAATATCAAATGTAATATTTGCACTCACAATCCAAATAGTGAAATGCATTTAGTACAGACCTTTTCAGTGTCAGGTTTTAGAGAAGAAAAATAACTTTTCATTTTAGATCAGTGTAAAACCTATTCAGGACAGTAGGTTTTTGGAATTTACTACTGAAAACATAAGCTAACCAAAGAATTTCTTTGTTATCAGAAATCATCAAATCAGAGGGTGCAGCAGCTTCTGTAGTCAGATCCTGAGCTCTGAAAGACTTAGTTTCCAGCTATACAATTAAACTTAAACCATTCGAAATAAGACCTTTTCCACCAAGGAAAAGTACGACTTTTGTAAGACTAGTGCCAAAAAGTAAAATGACACATACAACACAGGAAGCATTGCACTGAATTAAAAAGAAACCTCAGTTGTTCAGCATACATGTGTTGGTTTTTCTTAATATATAAAGAAGCTTTTCATCCCATGACATTTTTCCAGGGATACCATTTATTCCAATACAGGCTCTCCGAACTATTGGCATGCCAAGTGATCTCAAGCCACTCCCAGCTAACAAATTAAAATAGTAGTAGTAGTAATAATAATAATAATATAATTTTTAAATTATTATTACCAAAAAAAACCCCAAACCCAACACCCTGAGTCTGGAGGGCAACAGAGATACGGATGACGTTCATCACAACAGAGAAGTATGACAAAGACCGAGGAACAGACGAAATTACGAAGGAGATAAATCACATAATGTCAAAAAGGAAGGCCAAAAGAAGGTAGTGAAAGAAAATGACGACAAGAAAGAGAGAAATATCTACTTTGTCAAAGGGGAAAGAAGCTAAAGACAGAATAAAAATACATATTATAAATATGAGAAGTATTATTCCTGTTTTCTAAAAAGCACACATTATTGTTACTATTGGAACTTTGCACAACTCCATAGTTTTTACCTATGCTTTTTACTGGTCATATACTAATAATGGTCAGGAGACATCTGTTATGAGACCAGTAAAGAAACAGTTTTACAGAAAGATGGACTCTATCTTTAAACCAACGAGTTCTCACTGCTAACTTTGCAGGAAGTGGGTTCTGTTTCACTTGCTGAACACTTTGGGGTTTTTGCCTTACAAAAGGAGGGACACAGCAGCACAAGCACACACACCTTTACCTAAGCAGCAGCACTGTTTTCAAGTCTTGTCTTTCACATTATTGCATGTAAACATAACTATTGCTGAAAAGTCAATAGCAATGCTTAAAAATCAAATATTCTTACCTATACAAAGCATCATCAATTTCCATAGAGTCTGCAGCCATGATGCAATGTGATTTGTTTACACTAGAAGGGTTACAAAAAAGAAATAACCTGGTTACACTGATGCAATTTCACAGTTGGCCTCCCCTTCCCACCCCATCCAATTCTTTAACAGAACTGAAAACCACAAAAAGTGATGTTACACAGGAATCACTTTGAACATTACGGAGCCTCTACACCACCACAGCACCTAGGTAATTAAACATGCACAGGATCCGGAAGACAACACCCCAAACCTTCAATAAACGATTTCAAAATACAGACAGACATATTAAATTACCCACCGATGAGACACAAGAGTCACTTTTTGTATTTGACACAGTTAGATTTACTAAAAGTACAATTTCATTTTATATTAACAGTTCCAAGCTGTTTAATTTGCATCTACCTGATTGGTGCTTTTTTTTAAGAAAAGTTAGGAGATGCCTGAATAGTGATTTATGCTGCATTACTTCTATGTTAACTGAAAATCCTTAGGAAACAAGTTACTGTTTTAGCTAACTGAAGAAATCAATACCCAAAGATCTGAATTAATGCAACATTTAACTAAGACATCAAGTTAAACAGTTTGACAGGACTTCAAGAAAAAACCATGATTTGTGCTATTAAGACCTCCAGTCATCTGTGAAGACTTTTCCATTGTTAAGTGAACTTAGTGATAACTAAGCGCTAGGATTAGGAACAAACTGCCACTGGGCAGCTTGTTTCTTGTTATGCTGGCTGGGAACTGGTGCTTCCTAGACCTGGCAGGTGACTGCCACCAAATACACGATGAGGAAAACAGACCCCACGTTTGACCCAGAACATCAGTTGCCATCACTGCTAGGAAGGGACGCACCTTATTTCAACTCCCTACAAACTGCCTTGGAAACTAGACATGGCTGACAACCTTTCTCCTAACAGACTGTGAAAAGTAAAGGCCCAGACACACTAAGATTAACTCCTATTTACTGTCTAGATGGTTTTGGCAAACATTTTAACATCTCTGAAGTGCGGCACCTGCAGCCTGTCACATCTTGGAGACTACAACATTCTCACCTGAAATTTGTCCTTTTAATTTTTTCAGCTGAATTAAAAAGAACTGAAGCAGCGCAGCAGGGGACAGAGTTACATTGAAAGCAGGACACAAATCTCACCAGTTAAGCTCTTCCACAGTGTGGATACTAACTCCTACATGTAAGCTAGCACACAAGACAGTCAACCTGAGGCACCTCCATTGCAACCTACACCACCAGCCACTTCAGTGCAGCTCCTGTTCCCTCACACAACAACGGCTGAAGACAAGGAATGCCAACGTTACTAGATCATCCTAGGACCCAGATCTCAGGCCAGAGAGCAACACACCTCATCTGAGAGTCATGGGCTTCAGTCCCTGCTTAGGTCAAAGCCTTCATTTCAGCCACTGCCGGGGACACAATACTGGAAGTTCCCCTAACACCAAGCCAGTGTGCCATTTCATAATGGCCCAGAGCAACCATCCCCGAGTTTTTCTGCTCCTCCACGATCACCCTCCACAAACAGCACAGGCACTCTGGGACCACTCAAGATAAACAGACTGTGGTACCAAGGTGGGGAAGGTGATCCACCCCTGTATAAAAACACCCAGCTTCCTCTGCTGTGGTTGCTGACAGCCATCTCCACCAGTGTGCCCTCCCAAACAGCCTTTTGTAAACAATGAGGCTGTGCGATCAACCCACAGGAGAACCTTCTCCACTTGTATTACACAGACCCGTTCGACAGCAGCTCTTCCAATATATTTATAAATTCCCAGTTCTCCTCCTACATTCCCCGTTACAGCACTGAGCTGCTGCCAGCATACCTCTCAGGTACAGAAAAACACCTCCTTCCAAAAGAGGATTTAGTGGTACTATCGTCAAGTGGCTCTAGGACAAAGTTTTGTTAATGTATTCCTGCCTCCAGGTTGTATTTCCCATTTTAGTTCAACCAGTATTGAATCTGTCTCAAAGAAAGGCACGGAATATAGGGGGAGGGAGGGAGGAAAGCCATTCTAATGTTATGTCCTAGTTCCTACCAGATGCTTAACATTTATATGCTCTCCAGCTTCCTTTTAAAAGCCAACGCTATCAGTTTTGATACCAGGCTTCCATTTAACCGTGTAAGTAACGTCCTTCATTTTTCAAAGCCTCATCTGCTTGTGGGACATAGCCCAGGGACAAATCGAAGCAACATGTTACCAAGAAGGCCTAAGATGCTCCAAAGAGCAGTAAAGGCACAGGAGCAGCGGGCTGGTTTCACAGTGTTTCTTACCTCCGAGTTCACGCAGGCTGAAGCAGTATTAATTACTTGCTGTT